GGATAATGCGCTGGCGGTCACGGTCAACCGTTGGGCGATCGGAGTGTGCGGTTTTTGGCGCCGACCTTTTCTAACCCGTCTTTCCTCGGGGGAAGGCAGCATCGCTGCTTCCATAAATATGGACATGCTGGTCGCCTGGGGGAAGCACCTTACTGCCTTCACACTCCTGTCGCAGAGGACAGTACGACTTTACCCCCAGACCGCCTCGTAGCACGATTACTCGTAGTACGGGGTCTCGCTGCTCTTGGTCTGGCTGCTCCCCTTTGGCCTTCCTGGCATGGTTGCACCTTGTGGAACGAAGTTCCAGCCAGTGTAGCCCGCAGGATCGTTGCAGCACTGAAGCCCGACCACCACGTCAAGGTGGCAGCTTTAGGTCGGGCTTTCGCTGCAGGAAACAGTTACGCCCTACTTTAGCTAGATCGATCAAACGGACAGATCAAGTTAAGTGTCGATGACAAGATATGCGAAAAAGACGAAACGGTGATCTACTTTCTCAATCGTCGTCTTGAGTGATGAGCTGAGCAATTCCAAGGACAGGTCACCTGGTCTCCTTCAAAAAAACCGCTGGAAGAGCACGGCAATTCTGAATGGAACATCGACACATCCTCACCATTAACAACAGAAATCCAGCGTGAAATATCGAATCTCAAGCGCGACAAGGCACCTGACGCGAATGGCCTACATCCAGCATTCCTCAGAGAAGGTGCCGAGGTCCTGAAGAACAGTCTGACAACCATACGGCGGACGATTTGGAACGAAAAATGAATGCCAGCCGAATGGAGCTCCTCGACCGTCGTCCCAGCCTTCAAAAACGGCGCGAGGACGTCATAAAGGAACCATCGAGGCACCTGCCTGGTATCCGTCACATCTTAGGTGCTCTCTGGCACTTCTTGTGCAGGGCGGTCGATTACCGGCGGACAGATACGTAAGAATCAAGCTGGGTTTCGCCCTGGCCGAGGACGCATTGACCATATCTTTACCCTGAGACAAATTTTTTGAACAGCGCCATTCGTTCAAGCGTCCTGGGTTGGTCGTCCTTCTTAGTCTGAAAGCTGCTTTTGATTCTGTCAATCGTCGGAAAATTTGGCGGAATCTAGCGATTATGGGTGCCCCTTCCACATTTATATCCGGGGACTCAACTCATGTAAGGTTAATGCAAGAAATGGCCGAATAGCGCGGTCAGTGGCACCCAAGTATCAAAGCCATTGGCTTCAATGCGTAGCTATCCAGTTCCCAAACTAACCAAACTTTCCATTGGCTCCGAGGTTTGACTGTATGCCCCACACTTCCACTCCCCAGTGATCGGAACTGCAGCAGCTGGAACCAATGTTCCTATGGTACATGGTTTATAGCCGATAAATTGATTGACTGACAAGCGTGAAGTTCCTACTTAGTAACGAAAAGACGATGGCATTAAAATAGCGCTTTATTTCTCAAGATCAACCATCTAAAAGTAAGGTGCTTATGAACAGCACTGAATGAAGTAGGATTGAGCACACTATCGGAGTGATAAGGAACACATGTTTCAAGCATCCTGGCTAAAATGAGCAAAATCCACAATAACTCAAAGACGTGACTAAGATAGTGCGGCTAATAAATGACAGTGAACTGGGCAATAAGGCTAATTATTTGTCAAGTATCCTAATGCACATGGAAGGGTCTAATGAACATTGCATCAAAACGTCTGTTGGTGTGCTGCACGTGGGTGATAACCTCACAGCTGAAGCTAGTAATTAAGATACAGTCCTCGTAATTGAACCTCCTCAAGTGGATTATCAGTTTGGATCAACAGAGATTCGATGTCGGCTCATGGACCTCACATATCTCCCTCAACACTGAACAGAGTTTTTAAGCGCATCCTGCCACACTATACTAAGCCAACTAAAATCAACTGTTAGGCGGAATTCCGCACCGATACGGCTCCTCAGTTAGGCGTTGCTACAGCGAAGAAGCTCATCACGCACGCGATTGGCCAGAAGATCGGGCCGCTTAAAGGTGCATCATCAAGGCTAGCTCTCTATGCAAAAATAATATAGAAGAGCCATTGAATTCGGATCGTCTAATCAAGCGGAGATTCCTTAGGTTTGTTTAAAAAATATATATATAGTTCCGGATAGGATAGCATCCACCCCGAAGTGTACAGGTACTGCCGTTCGCTAATCCTTTCACCTTTACAAACAGTATTGTTTCATTTCTCATTTGGGAAGTGGGACCTGTTATTTCTGACTTGACTCATAAACGGTCCCGCTAAGGCTTTGCCTCTGTACTCATCGGATTTTTTTTGGGAAGTACAAGTAAACCTGACACGATTCACCCGGGCGAAGCTGCGCAGATCAGACATTCTTTTTACATCGACTTCTGGGACGTAAAGCCAAACCTAAGCAACAAACCGTTGCCCGTTTCATTGACTTTCGTGGTGCGTGCAACTCTGTTCACAGTAAACCATCAAGGTCTATTCTCATTGTTGATGTATCAGCCGAGTTCTTTACGTTCACCAAAGCCTACTGTCAATGAAGGTTCGGGTGACGGTGTTAAAACCAGCGTTACTCAACTTCCCCATTGAGTGGATGATGCAGCAGGCCCTGAGGAGAAACCCTGACATCCAACTGGGCTCAAGCAGTTGGAAGGCAGAGCGCGAAAACGTAGATCCGCAAGGCATTTCTGATAGAGCCAGCTATCACACAGGACTCAAAACCAGTGGGTCAAAATTACCCTCCACACAAACGACGACTCAACAGGAAACCGTTCGCGTAGATGACGAAACTAAACTGCAACTTGCGTTTTACCACCCTACCTAACGGGCAGGATACAAAAAAGATTGATCTGCGTATCGGCATAGCAAAATAGGTTTTCGTGCAACTTATGAAGACTCAATATGTACACCCCTAGTATGCAACCGCTGTTCGTGGCCAGCAAATTGCAGGACAGTTGTGAAGCTGATTCACCCCATCACAGGATACAGTACCCCTAAAGTGAAGTAGTAAATTATTGGATAGGAGAAGCCAGAACTGAAGTGCTGGGCAAGTTGCCAAAAGCGCTGCAAAAGGATTTCTATTTCATGTGCAGAAGTGCCACAAAGTTATCGGTGGTGACAATTGCGGGACAACAATCGAACGAAATCATGCCACTGCTTGTCATTCCATTCTGGCTCATTTCAAATAATAGCAGCTTGTCTTGACTGGTTTATTTTTTAATCACTGCAAGAAAGGTGTTTGTACAGTACTTTTGATCCGGGCAAGGGAGAGACAGACAGTTCCGGTATGCAAGGCTTCAATGCCGATCGAAGTAGTTTGCACATTTTTGGATCGCCCATTTCATACATACTGTGTACAAAAAAAAGATGAATCGGCGAATGACTAAGCATCACACTGAGGTATGATACATGGTTAAAGCGTGTCTACTACAGAAGGACTTCAAGCATTAAAACGATGGTTTTTCAACAATGCTATGCGAGAATATCAAGTGATCTCTATTTAACACGAACTGAATAAAACAATTTTCACTGCAAAAGGCACATGTCACAAGTGGCGCAAAGTTTGTCTACAGACTTTTGGAGTTCACTAGATTCGTGCGGTATATCCACTACCATCAAAGGTGAAAGTTCAACAAATGTGCATACCTAAGAGACAAAATAGACGACTCTAAATAGTCTGGGACATATATATATATATATATATCACAAAAAAATAGTCTACCCAACTAGCAGAATTCATTAGTTGTTGGATCTTTCAAACACTAAGCAACGAGTTTATGGGTATTTTTATGGGCACAGGAAGTGAACTGTGAAACAAACAAGAGCGAAGGTGTAGTCCGAGGCTGTGCGTGTCTTCGTGTTGGAAATTTGTGCTCGCGACAAATGGTGATCAACACAAAGTAGTACACAGTGGTCATAACTGTCAGTCCATGCAGCATCTACGACAAATCGGTTTCCAGGTTCATCAGTCCTTCCAAATTCGGCGTCCATATCCCAAGCAAGGATCGCGATACCCGTGTAATTCGTTATCTCCCCCCTCTAGAAGGATTTGAGTAGAAACCACTGTTGGCTGTCGCACTGCTGTATGTGGCTGAGGCGTATGTAGATATAATAAGCTAATTATGCGTCATCGGAACTGGTTAGCGACTCTGATAGACTGGACTAGTATGAGTACCAGTGGTCGGCTACTTACACTGATCGAACTAAATAGAACATTTTCGGCCCTCAGACTCAAGTCCCATGCATTTGAGATAATAATGAACTGCTATCCATCAGAAATCCGGAGCAACTAACGATTTGCGCCAGAGAAAATTACCGTGATGGTGCCGTGTACGCGTGATTCTCAGATACAACATTCATCAAAATTCACTGTGGACAGAGTACGGACAAGGAGTGTTGAGCAATAGAGTCGTCACTGTTACTGAGTCAGCAACATGTGCCAGCGCATTGATAAGAGTGGTAATTAGAGTTAGAACGGATAGGTATGAATGACTTCCGACTGTTCCCATAGCACGCGGCTGCCACGCTTCGGTCGATCGGATAGAAGGACCACTGTACTTTGAATCTTCCACACATCACATTTTTCAGCAGCTGATGGTAAGTGCTGTGATTGCGGCATGCTTCTGGAGCTTTGACATGTAACGAAGCTGTACTATATTGGCTTCCCTACAGTCCGATGTAGGTATAAAATTGATCAATCTCTCATGCATGACAGTTGAAAATGCGTATCTTTTGACGCGCTCATAAGTGAAGGAAAAGCGTTAAAATGTCAGAGGTTTCCCCTGCTGCTACCATAAATAACAAGCAATACCTACATACTGCCATACGACGATCAGCAGAACATCGGTTGGTGCGAATGGCGAAAACTAACCACGCAATCATGAGACGGCCCCTGCGAAAACTCGTCACCTGATGGGTCGGGAAATAGGTTAGCTACTTGAAGTGTTATTAGTAGTGTAGGTTAAATGTGGATTCATACGGACGACAGAGAGCCCTGACACCCGTGAGGGAACTAGGCAACCTTCACTGGCGTGTAGAACCAATTTCAGTTATCACACTCTAGTCGTTTATCGCACATATTGTGCACAATGGGTCTGAATATTCGTGCATTTGAATGTTGATTGGTGATCAGTTGTGGAGTTTAACAACTATGGTCCCGGGTGAACAACATTCAAAATCCCGCATTTCGTACTAATTTCCATGGGGAGGGGGGGGGGGACTAACTACGGTAAATATTGATTCGTCTGTCGCAACATTTAAACACGCTACGAGAACTATAATTGTTACAAGCATGAACGTCATGGGCAGCGACACAAAAACTGACATGCAGTTCACTAGCAAACACCCTAAGACTTTTGTGCTGAAAAGTACAAAGAGGAAATAGGCCAAGTTCTGACCAATCGAAGCAAGTACCATGGCATTCGGACTGTCAGCTTCCAATGAANGGGGGGGGGGGGGGGGGGTAATAACTACGGTAAATATTGATTCGTCTGTCGCAACATTTAAACACGCTACGAGAACTATAATTGTTACAAGCATGAACGTCATGGGCAGCGACACAAAAACTGACATGCAGTTCACTAGCAAACACCCTAAGACTTTTGTGCTGAAAAGTACAAAGAGGAAATAGGCCAAGTTCTGACCAATCGAAGCAAGTACCATGGCATTCGGACTGTCAGCTTCCAATGAAATGGTTGGGATGAACGTTAGAGTTGAAGGAAACGCGGGGGGTTGTGGCAGACACCTACAAACCCCCCTCTTTTTCAATCCTTTTTTCATTATGGGGTTTTATTTAAATAAACTGGAAGTGCTAATGTTTCACACTGGTGTTGCTGTCAATGACAGTCATAAGCTAGTGGGAGAATCCGGACCGACAGTAACCGGAGAGGCTTTAAATTTTCAACCCAAAAGTCCGTTTTTGGAATTGAAAAATAAAATAATTCGCGCTAATGAACGCAATCTCAAACCTACTGACGTTTGGTTTTAACGCTACAAGCAGTCAATGCTGGCAAACGTGAATAGGCTCGTCTGGATTTATTGAATTACTTTAACTAATGCAATATGGCTCTCTTCGCGACGTTCGGCGTCCCTAACTTAACTGCAAGGGGTGAATACGGGGACTATGAAATACGGGTATGAAAGTACCAAATGATGTAAGGAGCCTAGTTACTCCATACATCCACTTCCTGTAAATACTCAAATACGGCATAACCTGGGCACACACGACTCATACCTACAACCTCGGACACACCCGCTGAAGTACTGCCCCGCTCCAGTATACTCCAGTGCACTGGTGATATCTATTTGAGTGCCAAATGAAAATTTGCATTAATTCAACCACCAATCCGGAAGATCCCTTCTTAGACTTGACTATGAAAACGGATGGTTGATACGTAGCTCCCTACCCTGAAATCTCGCTACCGTGCGCAGTCAGGTCCGACGTAAAAAGCAATTCGGTTGTCTGAGAGGCATGCAATTAAAAAAAGACTCACTTTACTAAAACAAAGCAGCTCCTATTGCAGCGTGTCCATGCGCACAAATTGGACGGTGGCACATGCTCCAGTATCATACGACCAAATGTAACTGAAAGGAGTAAGAAAAATCCAGACGACTGTTGTGTGGAAGGGATTTGCTTACATTCAGACTGGTTACAGCAAATTTTCTCCATTCGTGGTGATTCGTTTCAAAGTGGTCCGTTGTACCCCAGTCACGTGGCTTCAACCAGCCACCGCAAAAACACAAATTAACTGAACCGGTAATAGCAAACTTCGCTCACCAAACAACCAAACGCATTATCGTTCCTGCCAAGTAGCCTGAAAAGTTCCAAACCTAATTGAATTCGAATGAAATCCAGCATGACTATTCACGCTGAGAGATCGAAAAATAGGACAGGGGATGTCGATTTCACTTTTTTGGATTTTTCGCCTCATCGTGTTACCACAGGACTATCCTACAGAAAGCAATTATCTTAGTTCGGATACTGTAGTGAAACGACCCTTGAAGACGAATATCCATCCTTTTACATAATCACATAACATTGAAAATGATCTTTTGTTTGTCGTGGTTTCCTGCCGCGAATCATGTAAAATCCTTAGCAATACTGAGGTTTTGTTTGCTCCCACAGGCCAGAGATACGAAATGCTGATAATTTATTTCTAGTTGATGAACCAAGTGCTAGTCAGTATGGCTTTTCAGTCTTGAATGCCCAATAGTCAAATAAATTGTGCAGGTGAGCGGGTGTAAACCAAACGATTTACTCACAATCTTTGTGTAGTTGGCCATCTTTTAGTAACCGACGCATAAGTAGCTGTCCTTCGGGGCGTTCGAGGAAAGGCATTGTACAGGCGGCGGGAGTAGGCTCAAAGGATTCATCATCTTCCATTCGTTCGCCATCCTCAAACGAGGCAAAGTCCTGGTTGATGGGCAAAAAAAAGAAAGTCGAGTAGGACGCATGTTAAAACGATCAATGGAAGCTAAGTTGTGGCCAAATAGGAAATAAAACAATGGTCAAAATGAGCTCCTATACTTACAGGTTTCGTAATTTGACCAAGCTGTTTCTCAGCCAATTTTACAGCTCGTTTGTGACGCTTTATCCGCTCGTCATCCCGACCAATATTACTCTTGGTATCTGTCGCTTCTTTGTGTGTACCTACAGGCACAAAACCAGGAACCAGAAGCAAATCCACAATCTGCTTCAAAGCGGTTTGCCGCAACTGTCTTAGTTGTTCAACGTCTTGGTCCGACAAAGCACAAGAATCGGCTACTTCTGTATTCGGAGCACTGGCGGTGCTGCGCTGGTAGGATGCGACCACGTTTTTGTAAGACAGATGATGAGAAGCACTAAAATGGTCGGAATATGGTGAAAATTGTTCAGGTAAACACTTGATCTGTCTTTTGTCGAACTGACATAAACATGGAATAAACATGTAAATTAAATAGTTAAAAATACAAAAAATACAAAAATACAAAAAATATGAGCTAGTGTATAGAAACAAATACTATTAGATTACGGGACGAGATGGGTCAGTGGTTAGAGTGCAAATTTACTGACCGGAAGGTCCGTGATTCGAACCAGAATTCCCGTATCTAGAATTGGGCAATCTGGCGATATTCCAGCACTCACTCTTCCTTATGGTGGCATCGCAGTTAGGCACCGAAATGGTGCTACGGCTGAAAAACTTTTTTAGCTAAGTTTGAAATGACGCTAACATTGCGAGCAACCGACCTCCCACAGCCAATAGTTTCCACATCATTACGTCCTGAAAAGAATATAAGTTAGACAAATACAATGGACCCTATGCACATCATACCCTCAGTCGGTAGAGAGTGAACGAATCGGTAACAAAATATGAAAATTATCGTGTATACAAGAACCATTCTGCACACTTTCCAATGGCTCAGTGTTTTTCGTTTCCACCTCAACGTGGGTTCCCCTTTTAGACATTTAACTAAGTCGTTTTTTCGTTCAACAAAAATAAGAGAACCTTTATTAGGTCACCCGGATTATGAAACGGGAAAGGGTTGTGGGTGTGTTCCGAAAAACGAAGATGCTCACCTTCGAATTAACACCTCTGTTAACAATACAAGGCGCCCACGATCTTCGTAGGCCAACAAACCTTCTGAAGATGAGCTTCCGACAAACAACTCCAAGAGATTGGTGGAAATAAGTTGGAGCAACCGAGGAAGCAATTTAAGGTTCGGATGACGCAGTTCGAGGGCACGGATACCAAGCGGTTTTTTGGTATGCGGATTGGAGTCACCGGCAATGAACAGACTATGTTGCAACTGAGGTGAGAAATGATGCGGGTCACGGGGTGACAGCATATACAAAAGCACCTTTCGAGCCTCTGGATGGATACAAAATAGTTTGAGGTCCTCAAGAATTTCCTGAAAAGAGGGAATAATTTTGAAACCGGTAATGAAAGTATAGAATTCGCGGTAACACCCAACTTCGGCTAATAAAACACTACTACAGGAAAATGGTGGTGAGAAAAGTGTCAGTATACCCCTTTGTTAAGCACAACCTCCCAAGGGATAAAAATGGGAGCCTGCGCTACCTAAATGCGTGGTGTGGTCGAATAGGAATGCTACAGTCTTCTCAATGAAGGAAAGGAGTTTTGGACCTCTTCTAGAAAAAAATTCACGTTAAATTGTGGCTGCAAAGAGAACTCTTGTGATCTTTTCAAATGACTGACAGCATGGCGAGGGGTGGATTAGAGCAGCTACCTTGAATAAACAATGAGTGGTTGTAATTCAAAGGTACTCAAAATCGAACAGTCGAACTCGAGTGATCGGACTACCAGGGAGCTCATCAAACCAAAGCGCATGAATCCGTCACAAGAAGAAACACGTGCAAAGCGGAAATCCAACTTTTGTAGGGAGGATACGACTAAATCGTGGTTAATGAGAAACAGAGTTGCGGCATTTCAAGCGGAAGGACTTATTTCGGAAGGATTCGTTCATGGGAGATTCCTCTACTATGCCGTACTAATAGCTCTCGGATACCAAACTAGTTGCTTCATTTAAAACGGTTTCACGTATATGCAACAAATGATCAACAGTTACGAATCGAGACAGATCGGTGGTTGAAATTGCTGACCGCAAGGTTCGTGGTTCGAACCCAACCCCTGCATCTCGACTGCTTCTGTCCAGGCTTGGGCAACCTGGCAGTATCTCAGCACCCATATTTCCTTAGGGTAGCACAACAGCTCGGCACCGTAAGGGTGTTACAGCTGAACGATTATTACTATTATTGTTACTAATAGTAGTATCATCTGCGGCTTCTTATATCAGTGGCACGTTCAGCCCAGTTTTGGCTCCTTAGGTCTGTTAAGTGTATCCCCAGCCCCGCCTCGATTTCGATCAACTTCGTTTTGTACTTCATACCAGAGTGGACACTCATTTCAAACTGAGGCCTGAAAATGACGATCGATCATTTAGAACAATTTTTTAGAACGAGGAAGTCTCTTCAGTAAGTTGACTTTCAACCTCAGTGCAATAGCGTAATAACATTCAGCCGATGAACAAAAACCGGGAAGAGAGGAATTTAAAGATCAGTTGGTTACCATAAAACATATAACAGGACCATCATCATCAACAGCATGATATCCGTGTTCGACACTAGTGCTTTGCTGCCGTAGAGCCACAATTTATTTGAAAACCATTTTGTGAAGAAAAGAATAAGTGTATGAAGAAGGGACGTAGTGATAGCTTAGTACAATCATTCCGAGCTACCTACATCTCCAGCCAGTCATTCAGGCAATCTGGCAAGGCACTGACAAGAATGCCATTGACAACAATTAGCAGCAATACCTAGCAGTGTATCCAACCATACGCAGTGGAGATCATGCAGTTCCCATCCTGCGAGACAACTAGCACAGACGGCACCTAAACGTCTCGTAATCTCTTTCATACCCCTCTGTCAGGTCAAGGGTTGGTGACCTCTCTGCTACCGCCACTCTGATGCACACCAATCTCTGACGGGTCAGTTGGACAAACATATGTGACTATTAAAAGTCACATGGGCAACGGGGGCTGAGCCGGCATTTGTAGGGGCTCTTGATCTTCGTTAGCTTAAGGTAAACATAGACCGTACAGAATTAGCAGCACTAACACTGAAAGTAACATCAGAGAACAAAGGAGCTTCACAGCTGCATAGACATGTCAATTTATTCAGATAAAGTCCCATAATACGAAAAAATGGCTAGCCTGTCTAAGAATGAGGTAATATCATTACCACAACGCATAGGACGGCTGGTTTCAGCCCCTGCTCACACAGAGAAACGGCACCAACAAGCAAGTCAAGCCCTGAGGGTGTATCTTCGAGGGCAGTGTAGTGTACCATGAGTTGAGACCAAATGAAAAATGGTATGGCTTACCTTGATTATCAGTTTCTTCAACAAAACCATGTCATCAACCATGTCTAATAAACCGATTAGGAACAAGTGACCGTGCTCATTCCGGGCAATTGAACTAACGCACGTCTTCAATCCGCGAACCAGAGGTTTCCGGAGACGAGGGGGCGCTGCCCAGAGTGCATGAAGTGCAGCACGAACCCCTTCGCGAGTGTGCAACATTGGGACGACCTGGCCTTCGACCAGCAGTTCAAGCAAGGATAAGAGTTTTTCATCGGGGGGAAAACTGTCCGAATCTTCAGGAACAGCACACGGAACACTCGATTCCTTGCCGTCTCTTGCAACAGTTTGAAGATACTCGAGTAGTAGATGCTGCACCACCGTGTATTTGGTCAACCCCCTGAGAAGCAAGAAAATAATGTTTCAAGAAGGCTGAAGAACAACAAACAAACCCGCCACGCCGTCCGGAAAAACAGATAAACTTCAATAAACATGCCATCATATTCGTTTAGTGGACGCTAAGATCATGCATATGGCTTGTGATTTACACTGGTGATCGAGTAATAACTTTATCAAAGTGCTCCATATGCAGTATGCAGTTCACAAAGTAAATTTTCTTGACGTGGTAGACTTTCTGTGAGCTTGCTAAAGAACACCATACACGCAAGATTCAGTTGGACCTGTCGTAAACATCAAAATATTTACAAATGAGTGTATTTCGTTACATGCGTACAGTTTGGTGTTCATGTGGAATAAAGGCCGGTGGAAATCCCGGGACCACGCCTAATTGATTGGTCTCAAGAAGGGCGAAACCGAAAGCGGGCTGTGGAAGGATTCTCAGCAACCTTGAAAGTAGTGTATTATGCAGTTGGGTTCGTTCTCCATGAAGATGTTTACGAGTATGACTTGGAGAATAAATGAGAGTTCGAACATTCAGCCTCCCCATTATTTCAACGGAGCCTGGACACATGGCCACTTCACTGCACAAAATGTGTGCCACCCGAAACTATGGGGATAATAGTAAAACAACGAACTGTTTTAAAAACGAGTCTTCTGATTGGCCTTAGAGCATGGCAAAGTTCACTGATGTGAGAAAAAAGAGAAAAAAGTTCGGTTACTTCAGCTTGGTTGAAAATCAGCCAAACACGACTGAGATAAAAGAACTCATCAGCAAGGTTACGAGGATAAAAACCGCTTTGCTGACGAGGTATCAGGTTGCCTTTTTATGGTTTCGGGTGACTTTGCAGTTCCGGTATTTGCGGGTGGATAGACTTCCGGAAGTGTTATTCTGAACATTGCTACAAACACTTTCGGACTAAACAGAGAACACATGCATCCGTAAGTTCGTTCGGAGGAAGCAGTATAATCAAGGGGTGAGTGTGTAATAACATGAACATACTTGTTGACTCCCCCCTGTGAATCAGTGGCGAAGAGCGGCCATTTTCTTTTGTGTTCCGACTACTTATAATTAACGTGACTTACGCCAGTTTATTATAACGCCGTTTCGTTTCCTTGCTGCTCGTTTTCCCCATTTCACCCCCACTTAAGGTCTGCTTATTTATCACTAACCGATGTCAATATTTTGGTGTCCGCCCGTCATTGTTTGCAAGGTCGTCTCAGTTCTACCTGTTTCCGGGCATTCGCTCTGACAAAAAACGGACCGATTGAGGATCGAATTCAGAGAACCTCGGATGGCGTGCAGATGCGTTGCCCACTATACCAGCTCGGGACCGGGAAGCCCTTTTTGTATACCTATATACCGCACCTGTCAGATAGCTTTTAGTGAGATTTGTGTGAAACAAACCTAACCGCGCAATCTGATTCGCCACGTGACACAAGCTCCCGTGTCGCACCGTCAAATGAAGATAGTCCCTTATCTCCTAAGCGTAGTGATGGTATTCTGTGCTGTTATCTCTCAACAAGGCCAACTCACACTAATAGACTGCCCGTATCTTTACTTTCGTACATCGTTTGATGCTTACTTGCTGTTGCTTCCAAATATCCCTACTGCTTCATTAACTATTTTCTGCTCCTGCTGATTGCACCATTATTGGTTGTACGTTTACTTAATTCACGATGCTTACTGACTCGTTTGTCTGTAGAACCAGTTTCTGTCAGTTCTCAATACATCACCTGCTGCCCTAGTCCGTCTGTTCCTACCGTCTACTGGATACGGACTGCGTATAAGCTGATAGTCATAATCGCCCTGTGAGATTCTCAGCTGCCCGCATCTTACAATACTGATTTGACGGTGGCTATCAGAAATACAAAACCCTCTAAGTGAGGCGAAGAAATTTGCAAAGAAATTTGCCAAACACCCTTTTACAACACATGGATGAATACTTCAAGAGGCATTCGTACGGGAATATCAGAGGGCTGCCTCAGAAAACAGTGATTCAATTAAGAAGAGGCTACCGTGGAGGATCGTATTAACCAGGAATCAGCTCTAGCCATTGTTACCAAAGAGCTTCACACGTATCCAACCATAAGGGAATTACGATGAGTCTGGGTAAAGCAGTTACTGTGGGGATAATACTATTTAGAGGTTTCTTTCCGAGGTACTTGGGACCCCATTGAATGATTGAATAAACATGTAGAATCGTGCAAGTGAATAACTGATAGCCATAGAAACTGAACAACAACCAAACGAAGATGGAAATTTAGAAACGTAAAGCTTCGATTTTGCGTCACCGATAAGGTCTACAATAAGAGCAGGAGAGCGGCGGAAACAGTTGACCAAATCACTCACTTTGAGACCATGCTCACTAATAGCTCATTCACATGAGAGAGAATAGCACGTTTCTTGTCTGGGTTCAGAGCCAACGCACCATCCAGCGTATGCACCTGATTTTCCGCGAGCTTGAGCGCATGCACATTGCCATAGAGCTCTTGCATTATTCCTCCTCGTTGGGTGGCGTTTGCATAGTCGTTGTAGAGCAAATCGACTACTTCCACGGAGGTTCGGTTACCAATCAACTTGGTCATATGACCGCGGAAAACCTGCGAGGAAATGAAACATACCGTAGACATACGGTCAACTGTGTCTGTGAAAACATTGCTAGCAGACGTGACAAGGACGAAAAAGAGCCGTCGTTGTGGGGGATAAAGCGTTTGTGGAAGACATCGGTACGAGTGGAGCCTTCCTGGAGCTTTTCTGACATGAAGATCAAGAGAATGGAGTCAGTCAGAAAAGAAGAACGGTGTCATTGACTGGGATGAACTTCGCAGAACACCGTCAAACCCTAGGCTAGTCAGCCCTCCAGACCCACAGCCAGTAAAACGTGTTTTGCAAACCAGTTCGTAGAGCTGTGCATTGCGTGCGAAATGCCTTCAAGGCCAGTCGTTTTAATCAATCTGATCCATGACATTCAGGTTTTGTACAAGTATTATGCCAGTCAACTGTTCAGTTGTTCCCGTACAAAAAGTAGTCGGGAAAACATCATGTTATATATTTATATAGTACTGAATACTACTAAAACTAGTCCGACTGGGTGTGAAAACGCAGACAGAATCAGTGGACTTCTGATCTGATTTGGTAGGAGTTAAACATTTCAGTTATTCCGCACATCCTGGATCATTATCTTCAGTTCATCAATGGTTATAGGGGGGTTGTTCTTATTGTACACGTGTCTGGTAATGACCAGACTCGCACATTTTTGGTGTGGATTGTGTGCTAGTCAGTCTGGTAGTAGAAAATACTGGAAAGCAAACCAAGAGTCTATTTAATGGACGGTATGGGCCAATACAATGCCATGCTGACACACCATTCCCTAGACTTGTTTTTCGTGGAGGCGGTGTTTAACAAAGGATACGGTCTTTATTCTCCTGTCTGGCATGACTTTTTTGGTCTTACCCCTCCCTACCTAAACCAACTCTGGCCCTGCAATGTGACTTTGGCTAGTGCGAATTCCTGCTTATTTTCTCGACCTATGCCACAAACAGACTCAAGCATCCAGACTGTTGATTCTTTGCATCCCTGAATACCACAGTTTTCCATTGGTGATCACAGATGCGAACTTCCGCCACTGCGTTGCATACGTGTTTTGTTCAGAAAGGGAAGCTTAACCTTAGTGCATCTGAGACAGCTAACCTCGAATCGCTTGTTGCAAAGGGTTAACGTCCAAGTTCAAATTGAGAAACCATTCAAACTTCGAGATTCACTTTGAACAGACCACCAGTAATCAGGTGGTTACTGCGTTAAACTTCGGAGTATCTCGGAGGAATATCGGGGGGATTACGTGGAAGACTATCCACAAGTGTTCTCGACCGCGCCAATTCAGTCGCCATACATACAACCGCGTCACTTCCTACCCACGTTAGCCACAGTCCAACCGAACCAAATGAGGCATGAGTCCATATAGAGAAAATACTTCATCAGTAAATTTCATTCACTGTTGACAACAGTGTGCACATGACTCTCGAACATCACTGGTTGAATTTGTGAGAATCGCTCGTGCTGGCAACAGATCAATAGCAATTCGTCAGTCAGGAACTAATACAATATGAGTACTGCAACCACATATTAAAAACCAGTGCACTAGGTGACGTACTCGAAACTCAAACACCCAAGTTAAGTGAGAGACGAAAAACGGGTGATCTTAATAGCGTTCCGCGCACCTGAAGTCTGACAAGTACCTCTGATTCAAAGCAAAACTACCCTCAGTAATGAAAGATCGACCTGATGGCAGCTTATGTGAAACAACTGACAGGAGTTAGAGTAGCTCGCCAGAAAATGAACCACAACAAGGCAAACAGCTCTCAAGCGACAGGTTCTGGGATCAAAAGATCGGTTCGTAAAAGTGAACAACAGAAATGTCCGGTAATCCAGTAAGAAAGGAAACAACATTCTCACTTTAGCTAAACATGCACCATCGACCGAAGGGTTTTGATGAGTACAAAAAAATTGATAAGCTGTAACACCCTTCTAGTGCCTAGCTGTTATACCACCCGAAGGAAGCATGAGGGCTGAGATACTGTCAGGTTGCCCAAGCCTAGAGAGGAGTCGAGATGTGGAGGTCGGGTTCCAACTACGAACCTTCCGGTCAGTAAATTTGCGCTATTACCACTGAGACATCTCGCCATCCTGCTGGGTACAATGCTGACATAACTAATAGCTTCGGTGGGACAAATGAACCTCAATGAAATCAGAGTAAAACCAGTTCATAAACCACAGTCAACACGATAGCTCACCTTCAAAACCTCCAACTGATGTTCTCTATCTCCATATTTTAGCAGTTTGATAACTATGTGTTTCGCGTATTTGGATTTGGACAAGAGCCGCAAGTTACTCTTGATTTCCGCAAACAACTTCCACCGTTGTGCTTCTGTACCATACTGAATAACGGATTCCATAATTCTCGCTGAATCGTGTGGCAGGCAGAGATCAGCGATTTTATCCTGTTATTATAAAAAACGGAATGAAAGGAAATGAAAACTAAACGAAACCGACATCAACTTCACTTGTTGTTAGGAAATGGGCAGAAAATCGTCAAGATAGATGACAGAGATAAACGATTAGCTAGGGACGATACCTGAAATGCACACAACCAAGTCAAGAACGAAAGCAAACTTGATGACAGAAGACGGCTCAACTTGCATTTCTATTCGTAAATAGTTAACATGACCCACGAGGTAGCTCAGGTTACCTAGACATCAAAGTGCCATAGAACCATTGCACAAGTCTCTCTCGTACAATTTAACTCTGCTCATGAAACCATCATGTACACTGATGCTGATTTGGCCACTACACTTCATGATTGAAAGCAGTTATTCATTACGTCAAATCGAACCATAGTTTCAAAGTCTCAGATCAATCCACATCGACATGCATCATATCATTGACAGAAATAAACCAGTGAAACATCCTGGCGCTTAACTATCATACAGTTATGAGGGAAGACTTTTGTAAAAAGCTGGGGAAAGTGGTGAAGACTTGGTGAGAAGCCTTGTGTCCTTAAGAAAAACTGAAACAAACACATCTGAGCATCATCTCGAATCAAGGTGAAGGCGGCCCAACGTCATTGCTAACCTTATTGGACACCATCGCAGTGTAACAAGACAGACGAACTTCGACCAAGCAGTCCGGCTTGGAATAGACAGCACACCAATGTGCCTGTGGATGGCACGAAAGCCTTGTCCTAACTTATTGAACGCCCATGTGATTTCGTGGGTGGCGAAGAGATTTTATTCATGTATTCTGAAAAGCCGAGACGCATTGTACGGCTGGTTCGACTTTGCCACGAAAAAATCGTTAAGCTGTAGCATCCTTTCGGCGCCTAACTGCCATGCCACCCGAAGGAAGCACGAGGGCTGGGATACTGCCAGGTTGCCCAAGCCTAGACAGGGGAAGTCGAGAGGCAGAGGTCGGGTTCGAACCACGGACCTTCAGGTCAGTAAATTCGCGCTCTAACCACTTGGTTCACCTCGCCCACCTTGCCACGAAAAACAAGTACTGCACGTCTCATTAATCTCTGTGATGGCCTGCAGCTGAAGTACGTTGTTTGGCAGCCGAACACCATTACATTAATCACGAATGGTCAATCAGCAGCACGATCAACTACAATTAGGTGTCACCGTACTTCAGTGCCGCAAATCAAGTCACACGATCCAGCGTTCAAACACCCTCAGATGACGAGTTCTCAGAGGGCCTTGCTATCTGTGACATTTTCCCTTCTTGACAGATTAGCCATAACATGTAGTTTATATAAGTGAACCATCAGGGACAAGTTTTGTATGAGTCCTTTTGTGGTCTTCACACACAAGGAGCCAATGAAAGTCGTAGACATGCAAATCTGAGGGACTACTGGCAGCGGATACGTGTGAACACTAATGTAAAAATAACAAAAACTAACTCGCGTCTTCGATAAAATATCGTTGATGAGTTCAAAGCGTTTTTCTTTTGGTGTATCGTTTCGGCGAAGAACTTCCCAGATCGGGAGAATTTTCATCACAACGTCCGCATGCTTTTTCGACTTCAGTCTCATCAACCGCAAGTCTCGCTTGGTATAAACCTCTGTAAAGTACGTCAGAAAACGACTCTAAACAGAAACACTTACTTTTCTCACCACCTTTGCGCTTCTAAACAGGGGACATGAATAAATGAAGTTTAGACGGTTGTATCAAACTTACTGGGCCCTTGGGGATTCGTTTCTCCTTTGTGGACATCTGAAATGAAGAACAATGTGCTCCTTAACTCGGTGATGCAAAATCACTTATTAGAGTAAAAATCAGGACGTTCAATGCCCAGCAATCTCTGAAATAGTAGGCTCTATGGACCTGGTTTTCACGAACTAGCATGAATGGCATTCCGAAGATTTTAGAAGATTCTCGCGAATTCTATTTCGAGTAGAATAAGTACACACTAAGCATATATGGGAAAACCTTTTCACTCGTCATGTGTAGGTGGAGAAAAAGTATAAGGACAAGTAATCCGGCGTCACCGGATGTGGTGACGAATGTCAGGCTTCTCGAATGACTATACAGTTGACCGGTCATGGATTGTCAGAACGTCGATCGATTCGAACCAAGCAATTACGACCCAGCACTTCTCGCCCCTTCACGAAGACCCTTACGTTATCACGTGGATGATCCCATGATTCGCCGAATAACCACAGATGTTAACGGCTTACTTTATTACATTACACGCCTCTAGTGTGCGTTATACATCATGTTGGGAGAGACAGACAGCATAAAACCAGTACAAGAGTTGCGTGACCACAGTAGGGACAATGAGCACTCGGATACGTTAAACTTTCCTCGAAACGAGTAGCGTACAGAAGGATGACAAGGATATTTAAACACAGCCAAAAATGAGACAATATGTATGGGGTATTTGGATTATTATTCGCAAGCAATAACTCAGGCAGTCGCACAAATCAATGTAAAGTCTTCGCACAAAAAAGACCTACATTTCTGCAAAAGTACTAGGCGTTAGGTGGATGACAAGGGAACAACGTTTTAGCTATCGACTAGAGTAAACAAGCTCATCACGACGCACAAGCAGTCCGATTTAGGACGATAATCAACTATCTAGCGAAGGATAAAATATGACTTTCATCACATTCACCACAAGACCTCATGAATTCGGTAGAAAACCATATGAACAGAAGTCCATTTATACAGTTGCCACAACCTGGTATACGTCAGCATGGAAAACCCCAAGGAAGAAGCCGCATCCCAGGAGAAACGAAGTACCCAGGTCCGTTTTTCGACAGAAACGCACTCCCACTGGTTAGTGTCTGTGTGGATTCCTCACAATTCTGCTGATAGCTTGAGTATGTCATTCATCCTCACCATACTGAGCCTGATTGGTACTGGCTGGTTAGTACTGGCTTCCATAACACACGGGTTTCAGCAAGGTTGTTGCAGCCAGATTCTCTTCGAAGTCCATCACATGGATCCGAGTTTACATATTGATTCATCTGTGACACTTCGCTCTACTGTGTCTTAAATTATCACGTACTCAGCCAACCCTAGTATGAATGGCCGTTTGTCTGCCGTATTCCTAGCTTACTACAGTGATATCAGTGCGCTACGATCTGACGGAGGTGTAACCGTGAAGTGAAATGAACGAAGAACCAGTCAAAACGTACCTTTTCAGTCACCATTTTCTTGGATTCCTTGGGTCTGTCTAAAATCTTGACGACCCCTTGCTGCAACACAGAAGTGGAAGACTGTAGGGCTGCCTAAATATTGAATGCAAGTGAGATTAATCGCACATGAATAATCCGCCATGTACACAAATTGTCATTACTTTGCGAGAGAGAGAGAACATCGCTATAAACTTGCAGCATACAGTGCCCAGGTCCCCGAAAAAGGCCGTTTGGGCAGAAGTCTAATTGCTCTGTGGAAAACGACATTGCTCGACCGTTGGAACGAAGATTAACACACATGGCTTAACATAAAGCTTTTAAGCGACCAAATACTGAAACCGGTGAGGTGATATATCAGTCCTCGTTTGTAAGCACTCCAGACAGAAACCAACTTCCATAAAGGTAACTTGCATCATACCAGCGTAATCCAGCGAATAGAGTTTAAGATAGTTCCGTATAATACAATTCAGTCGTAAAGATTGTACGAAGAGAGTCCTCTCCTACTGCGAAACATTCAGATATTCACAAACTTGCAGCTGGTGATTGACTCCTCAGGTAAGTAAAATGGTAGAAGGATGGAAATCAGCAACTAAGAGTAGAGGGAAAGTGAAAAGGCACAACTAAATACGGGCTGGTGAAGAACTAAATAAGTAAGGAGAAGACTGTAGAGCTAGGGGTCACCTGACACACGAACTACATGGACTAACAAGCGTGAAAATCAGAGCGTAACCAGAAAATCTATTGTAGGAAAAAGTCTGGCGTACCTCAGCATTACTGACCCGATTTTCCCACCAGACCCAAACCGCGTTTCGGAGGGGTTGGTGGTCAAACCCGAACGTACGTAGCAGTCATGTCTCCGGTAAACAAATTAGGATAGACCGAACCACGGCGTTGTGTATTCAAAACTTTGACAGCACTATCCCCAAAAATGTCGCAGGTTAGCAAACACTGCCCTGACCAAGTGGTGCCTGCCAAAGAACCAGTGTCGGAGACAAATAAACTAGTGTCATCAGTTACCGACTTATCGCCACCTGTCGCTCCTTCTGGACCACATGCGGGGACTCAAACAATGACTCGTCCTCTGCTGGGTTTAACTGCGCTCTTCAGATCTAAGCAAAACACGGACACCTCACCTGTCCAGTGGCGAGCCCATTGACCCCGAAATCAGACGGACGCGTCAGAACCGGCCCCTCCAACGCCTGCTTACAGATATGATACCGGATAGTAAAAGCATAAAAGAGATGGGTATCCAGAGCTGTATATGATGTCACAACCTTTGCCAGCGACGCAACCCAGCCAGTCTCCTTCAAACATTGGATCTCTGGTAAGTCTGTGGCTTTTCTTCGGTCGATGAATCATCCAACGCCATGTAAAACTTATTATTCGGTAGTACCAGGAAGTCTAATGGGTCTACAAGGCCGAACAAAGAGAAGTGGAAAATGCTGTAAATGTCTATTCCTAATGATGCGTTCAACAGGCCCTGGGGAGCATCTTGTTAATGAAACCATCAGGTATCACCATGGCCTTTCTAATACCCAAAAACGTTTGGATTTTTGAACAGAATACTCTAAACAACCATTTGGTTGGTCACCTGTGACTTCCATGCGGACTGTCGGTGTCTGTATGATCTACTAGTGGCTATCTGGTAGTAAGAGACCGTTCTGGAAAGCTGGGGGCAGTCGGTAATGCCGGCTAAAAAGGACATTCGAGAGAATGTATCCACACAAGGAGGGTCAGTCCGACTCCCGACAAGACTTAAGGCGGAGCTGTTCTTTGGTCTTATCACGTCGGCAGATGAAATCTCTACACGTGAGCACCGAGCAGGATTTTGACAGAGGCTGCAGCTGCCATATATTTATACTCCGATAGGTTTCTGAACAGCACCGTGGGTGATGACACATAGTTCTGATGATTCACCCCTTGGAGGGTAGTTCGACCGGCCATATCTTACAACTTGTCGACAACAGATCCAAATATTGATAACCGCAACATCCAACATTTTTACCCAGTCAGCGGTCACCGATAACGGGGAAATGAATCCATAGTGTCGACATCCATCGTAAAAGCAGATTGCTGGGGGCTTCTTTGTACTTTCCACTTCCACCGACTGATTACAGTGCAATGCCGACAACAAAATGACATACGCGCTGTTTCTGGTTTGATGACGCAAAAATGGTTGTCAGCGAATTTCCAAGATATGCTCTCGTGCTTGATGGTTTTCTCGCATTGTTTCTACAGTAGATATTTTTTCTGTCACCGCCAGTACTATAATTTAACACAGTGCATACTCTCTCGAGGTACTTTTCTCATCCAGGACGAAATCGAAAAGTATTCTCCTGGGATAACCTACCGTTCTTTTTGTTTGGACTTCCTCCACTCAAACGCATTTACCTAGTGTAGAAGTTACTCAAAGTTGTTCTTTCTGGACTTTCTCACCTACTGATGGTATATCAGCACAAGGGATACCCTGTTGAAGCCTGAGGCGCAACGAAGTTCCCAAACAGTCAGAATACAGACACCTCCGGACCAAATGAGTTCGTCAAACCTGATTCCAAAAACTTATCAGCCAGGGATAAAGTTTGGTCGCGCTAGGACCTCTGAACGTCAGATGTATGAAGTAGTCAATATGAAAACAGTAAATTAAAAATGGAAAATCGATTCAGGAGATCACAGTGTGTGTACCTTTTGTAATGTAGACCCAGAAGAATGTTTGGTATTCTTCACCTTCCCGTTGTCTCCCTTCTGCAGATCTTTCTCAGAGTTCCAACCCTATGGTTTAATACATGACGGAGAAGACGACAAAAACGCGTATAAAACAAAAGCGAGGGATGAAAATGCTACAACACACATGGATAAATAGTTGGAGTACGAGGCCTAGCCAGCGAAATCTTGGTTAGAACAGCTGGATGTGCTTCGTTATAAATGGCCTGATAGTTCAAGGTCGTTGAGTCGATGTCTGATGAAGATCAAAGAGATCAACCGATGAAAGTTGTTGTGTATCTTCTACTCGACGTGTTGAACATTAACTCAGCCAAGTTTGCATCCTCAACCGAAGAATTTTACTCAAAAGCCTGACAGCAAGCCAGTGGTGGCTGGCGTTAGACTACTAGAGTGATATGTCTAAGAAGGTCTAAATAGTTCAGTGGTTAGAAAGCGAATTTACTGGCCGAAAGGTCCGTGATTCGAGCCCGACCTCTGCCTCTTGACTTCCAGTCTAGGCTTGGGCAACCTGTCAGTATCCCAGTCCTCATGCTTCCTTCGGGTGGCATGGCAATTGAGCACCGAGGGGTTTCTACAGCCAAACGATTTATTATTTATCTGTCACATCAGCCGAATTAAGCATCACGGTTTACCCTGCCTCAGTACCTAAGCAAAATAATGCCGTCCGTGTTTAAAAACGCGAGTAGTGTCCCGTTTACTATCTTCAAGTTGATTGATACCAATGTCGTCCGACTCCATACATATAATGTAGGGTGAAGTAATGGACTCTTATCCCCTACTTATCCATCATAGGTAATTCAGTGTAGTTCCCACCAAAGGCACACAACTAGGCAAAAGAAAGTGGAGCCTCAAATCTTGAAGACCAATTAAATGAACATTCGTCAGACCGCAGGAATATATTATTCTCATCAAAGCCGACTTTGTTGCGCAAAATTCTCCGTACCTTCAGGCTTTTGCCTTTTTGACCGCTTTCTGCTTCCCGTCCCTATGGCAGCGGTATCAGACATAAACTGAGAACTTACACGCCTCTTTGACATCTTCGTCAAGTTAGAATCCCAGAACTGAAGTGATAGAAAACATCCGTGAAACATGAGTTAAGCCGAAAAAGGGAGCTTTTTGTCATATAATCTCAAAAGGGGCTTAAAAAGAACCAGCGCACCTCTCCCATAAACGGCCCACGTGCGATTATTGCTACCTGGACGAAGCCACAAGGCGCCTAGAAGCACGGGATTGGTCCACTTTTTTTCACTTTCCACTGATTCGCTGAGGTACAAGAGGCAAATGGAATGTCACGGAAATCCTTGGCCGAAAAATCCCTTTTCTGCAAAACCTTTGCAGGTGAGATAAACATCTTCCCACAAACATGCTGCAGTTCGTTGCTTTGATCAAACCAAAAATAACCCTAAACTACCCTCATTTTGTTTGAAATAATCTCCCTTGTTATTTATTGGTACCCATTCGATTTTGAACCTGTTGTGCTATGGGAAGTTCAGTATTCGCACATTAGAGTTGAATTTTGGAAAGTTATGGCGTGTCCCTGATGAACTAAAGCAATCAGGCAATTGAGCTGAGAGTACCAGTCTAAACTTTTAAGCTCTATTTAGGCATCCCGGGGTCTCGGCGATCCAGGAAAATTATCCCACAGGACTATTCAGCCAGAGGCATGGTTGCTTCAGTGAACAATGAAATTTGCTGAGTTGCAAAAATATGAACGTAGATTACAATGGTTCTTGGTTTCAGAACATACGCAATGAAATGCAAATTTTGGCGCGGAAAGCTTTACTCCACTTCCAAAGGTTTTACAGCTACGGGCATTGCGCGGGCACCGTGCTATGATCCCGACCCCATGCGGCCGCACTCTTGTTGGGGGTCGTTCAGACAAACTCAGGGTCTGTTTGGAGCACACCATTCGTATTTCTAATGGGTGCCATGGCCTAACGTGATTTGTCCGGTGGGTGACTCTGCAGAGAAGTTAGCTCGTCGAACTTTTCCACATTCAGTGTTCACCACAAGAAAGGAAGAAGCCTTTTAATCTTGGTTCCTTACCTATGCTACCTCAGGCGTGACCAAGTCCACTTTGAGCAACACCCACTTAGTATGTCAACATCACTTTTCTACGAAATTCCCACTACCCACGAACCCCAGCGGTCATGTTCTTATTCTGACTGTAACATTATGACCATGTCTGAAGGGATGCTATCCACTAGTTGAGAATAAGCGTTATTATCCTTATTATGCTTACTAATTTGTGTAGAAAAATTAGGTGGGCTCAACAGAAGTTTTATTCAAACTGATATTTCAAGTTTGTGGCTGTCACGGCTTCCAAGCTTTTTTCCTTTGAAGCAGAAATGTGAAGGCAACAATCTTTGCAGCACAGTTTGATGTCTTTCTCTGCCTTAATAAACAAGGCCGTATAGCTCGAGATCTCAATGGGAAACCCTGTCATTTGTATTTTATAAATTCCCAGGGGACATCGGGTACAAAGGCTGTGGACATCAAAGTTACCTAAAGTAAACTTGGTCACGCCAGAGGTGGCATGGGTAAGGAACCGAAATTAGAAGGGTTCTTGCTTTCTTGTGGTGAACACATCAGATGAGACAATATACGGTCGCTGAGATTTGAAAATGATGGGCAAAGCAATACGAGGGAGAGCATAGCAAGACGCTCCCCGTTTGTTACGCGATAAAAAACTTCAAACCGTAGAAAATGTGGAACCAGAATAACGGGTCTTTGGAGACAGCAGAACTGTGACAGTCTGACCGGCCAATTTGAACTGGGGGTTTGTGGTCTTGGGCAGTGGGCTTATGGCCAGGATTACGAAACTTCGTAAGTGAAGACGGTGAAGTGGGAGAATTTGCAGTACCAATAAGTAGTATAGGGAAACTCGAATCACAGTGTGCAGTAAAAAGGAAGAGACTCACTAATGTTGCTACTGGAGCGGTGTCGTGTTTAAAAGTTCCTGGGGAGAAGGAGCTCACCCAAACGCACAAGAAGGAACGTGAACTGCAAGAAAATTACTAACGTGATGGGAAGCACCTAGTTTAGACCTTTAGATTCAATGAAAGATTTGGTAGATTGTAATGAACGCCTCCAGGTTTCAGGGAAGGGACCGAGTTGGCGAGAGGGCGCAGTCAAGGTAGGGTGTGACCTGTTGCGGGCGCGTTATCAAACTAGGCGTGGCAGTGCTGTGCCATCAATGCTCTGACATATTTCAGTTTCTGGACAGCTCCGCGACGGATGTCGTGACTGATATATTTGGGCTGGCATATATCGTCCTGTGGGCAGTGGGATGATGTGAATTTGCCGGGGGGTTTCGCAGGGAGAGCAAAACCAAATTAATATCGCAGGTAGCGTTTTTTGTCTTCTCGGGATCCCTTCAGGTGTAATGTGCAGATTGGGTGGAGTGAATAACGGCCGAATAGGACGTCCATAACACGTATCACCGTAGGCTGAAGGTCGTTTTGGTTTCTGTCATTTAGAGTAATGCCGAGAGCACCAGTCACATGACAAAACTGACTGAGTAATTCTGGGCAGGGCCTTGACCAGAACAAGGTATTAATTGGCATGCACTAATATACACGGCAGAGAACCGTATATATTGTCGGTTTAGGGTTTGCAGGAAACTTGCGCTGCTTGACGTCTTCTAAAGGCACCCATACTTTGTTTTAGTGTATCACAATTCCGGGGCACGCCGCACGCGTGCTGAAGTCCTAGGCCCTGGAAGTCGCTAGAAGGTTGAAGGTCAAAGCTGCGCGTACCCAGCTGCAAAACCATCTCCATTAAAGATCCCCTCCGCTCCGAACTTCGGCTGATTGAGGCTGGCAAATTGGGACTTATGTCCTCACTGATCCACGCAATCCAATACGTTTCTACAAAAAAAATCGCAGACTTACATTGCTATCAGCCTCTGGACAACCAGAACCGCCAGATCATCGTTGATGCATGCGAGGGAAGCAGCCAGAAAATCACCACAAGCAGCAACATACCACGTTTTTCAGATAACCAGATCCTTTGTGCTGTCCAATCAAAAACCGTTTGCTCCTAAACCAACCGTTAGGAGGTCTAAACTGCCGTGGTGTCTTCATTCGCTTAATACGACGGCTTTTAATCTCTGTATGTCAGTTGCCTCTACATTATCGTTATATTAATTCCACGAATAACAAGAAAGCTATTAGTGATGAATTCAAGTCCATACGTCTAAGCCCGAAAGGCCGAATGTTCCATCTAGACCGGAACACTCGAGGTAAAACTAGCAGCTCATTCGAAGACTGTAAACACTGTAAACACGAAGCACATGGTGCCCTGGACAAAAGTCGATAGGTAATTTTCCTCTTAGATGGAGTGCCTGGGGCTCTCCATCCATGGCCTTTCGGCTGCGAAGTAGATTATTCATTCCTCCGATACGGTTACCAAGAAAAACACGGAGTCATCTGTGGTGAAGTGAATACGTGGGTCCAGGCCGATCATCTTGCCGGACAAGCACTCCAACAGGGCTGTCATATTTGTTCCATGGTGGTGTTGTAACCGATTACGAATACTCAAGATTTCTTGCAGAACGTTTGCGGCGCTAAAGCAGTATAGCTGAAGACTATCGTGAGTTTAGTCACACTTTCTTGCTAACGGCCGTACAGATGAACGTAAAGTAGGTTTTCTGTATTCAAAAAGCAATTCACAAAGATCAAGGCTGTACTTCCATATGGGACCATCAGAACGGCCGAGGATGCGTCACGAATTTTCACTTTGGGACATACCAACTAAGAAGTTGCACTCAACGTCTCAACTAACACATCAGCTAGACGACATCACGATCCACGCTGGGATTTCCGAGTATCATGCAACCAAGCACTGGTGGAACAGGGAAGCTCTCCTAGCCATTTTGTGGCTATAATCGTTCCATGCATCCATATTAATTTAGGAAGCTACCATAACCTACAGGGTATTCATTAACCCAAATCGTGCTGGAAGCTAGGCCTGAAATATAGATTCTTAACTAGCATTCTCTGCCAGAATAAACACATGTGGGAGCCCGCGTTGTCACACTTCGAGTAGCGTTACCCAGAGTGGTTGATCCAATTGAAGCAATCAGCAACCTCTGGTAACTCATTTGGGTTACAAGAAAGTAATGCTTTTGGCATAAATGCTTTGTACATTGTACTCCATCACACACATATATATATGATGCAAATGCCCACGCGCATGGTTTCTCTGGCAAACTGATTGCTTCCAACACCGGTCCTGATCAACAGCGGCTGGTACTCAGTCACTGGTTTTGAGTGACGATGCAGCGGTACTTGCCACCCGGAAAACGAATTACACAATGGCGTTTTTGGCATTTCAACGACCACGGTTTGCCCACAACCCAGAAAAGTTGCTTCTGCGGGCTGCCGAGAAAGGGTGGTGATGGCAGCCGATGAAATCGTCCCCTAAAACTGGGGAAGATGACGGAACTGGCAGTCGTGTCGCCCGGTAGCAGAGGCACGTGCGTCTATCGGGAGATGTGCTAACCGCCTGGAAGCACTTGCGGCCTGCACTAGAAGCCGTGGGTCAGTTAACGCCCCGCTGGCTCCAGTCTGATGCCATTTCAGGCTCGGTATCGTTGTCCTAGTTTCCTCAGAACAGGGTGAGATACATATATAATCGTTGGACGGATGACGTTTAGAAAGCAATCTTCGCCATCCATGATGTTCCTCCATTCGCAATGGTACAACCTACGTATCTCATGTTCTCACACGAGCCACTCAGCACGCAGGGGCGAATTCTACCTGACATGATCGAGACCGTCCGAGTGATGAACCCGCTTTTCCAAGAGGCCATTGGTGTTCCCCGGTCGGTTGTTGGTCGCATTGCTAAAGTGAAAAATACTAGAACCTTTGTGGGCAGCCCGTTTGTTAGCGATATGCAACAATAGGAGTATATCTCGTAAGTGAATGCCATAGAGGAGCTGTTTTAAACAAAAATTCACCCAAAATGTTTGGTAGGTTGTTACGTCGATATATGCAGCGACCGGTGAACGTCGAGCTCAGTAATCTGGTGTCTTCCGGCAAAACCTGTGGGCTTTGGAGTTAGTTCTCCAATTTCACTGCCGGTGTTCGTGCGCACTTGCAAAGCCTGACCAGCACCAAAGATATAGTATCTGCTACAGTGGAACCAAGTATCCTACTCAACAGAGCCGGCCTACACTTCCGGCGGTAGTTACCGGAGTTATGGACGGTAAGGTCTCCTCTAGATTCATCGGCGACAATGTGCTGCGCACCAGACGAGAGCGTCCGGTATCCCAGCAGAAGACCGAAGACACCTAAGTCCTCCTTGGTCGGACGTCGGTTGCCAGGCAGTCTGTCCTGCAAAGGACCCATTTATTCAAAGATTGTGACCGGTAGTTTATCTCCAGGCCTTTCTAAACAAAAATGGACCAAAGAACCAGTGCCCCGCCTACTGCCTGGTATTTGTAAACGCACTCAATGTACTGGCTTCTTTGGACTCATCGTCGTTTGCTTGGGCTTTTGGGGTCGTCGGTACAGTCACTCAGAGTGCAAGAGAGCTTTGGTACTTTTTCGCCCTCTGAGGGCACAAACACAACATAGTTCTCCTTATATGTCCGTTTGCTGCTTCCTTGAATGCTTTGGTAGAAGATCTTGGAGCCACCAGTCTCTCAATAATCACTCCCGAATTTGAGCATGCACCTCGAGTCATTCCAGTTCGATTTCAAAAATAAATGTATAATAAGATTTCGGATTTGACTGGGAGCGTGTGCTGCTTTTTGAGCGCATGCACCGAGATATTCTTCATTTCATTTCAAAGCTTCCCACTGGTTTTGAGACAAACTACATTTTGATGTGAGGTGTTAAGCGAGCTCGCATATTAAAACAAGGATAGAGGTTAATGTAGGAGACTGAGTGCCGCCGACCGAACAGCCAAGTTCCTTATCCCCACTGTCGTCTATGTGACAGGTGGTAGGTAATACAGTTGAACTACTCTAGGATCGTTCTTCGGTCCCAGAACCGATGTCTTCTGTCCAACGGGTGAAGATCGAGCACACTCGAGGGACATCTTTCCGTCGACCGATGACCAGGAGGACCGTAGACGTCAGGTTGGGAATAAACATTATTATTATTATTATTATCATTCTAGAGGAGGAAGTTTTGATCACCCCGCTGACGATTCATAATCTATGCCCGGCTTTATCGTGTTGGAATCAGGACACGGTGGAAGACAGAGGGATAATTCGATGAGTTTGTATTCAATCTGGATATTTTCCGAAGTCCATTATCACCGCGCTCGCGGGCAAGTCATCGAGGGAGGCATGCACATACTTTAAGAGGGATGCCTATCCACCACCTGGAGAATTTGATGTGATGTTCGTTTAGGGCTCGTTGCCGTTCAAGTTCCATTGGTGAGGTCTCCAGCGAGGAGCTGTAACAAGTTCCTGTAGATCTTCAATGTCAAGTAGTACCCTGGGGCGAGATGGCCGAAGTGGTTAGAGAGCGAATTTACTGACCCGGAGGACCATGGTTCGAACCCGACCTCTGCCTCTCGACTTCCCCTGTCTAGGCTTGGGCAACCTGGCAGTATCCCAGCCCTCGTGCTTCCTTCGGGTGGCATGGCAGCTAGGCAGCGAAAGGGTGCTACAGCTGAACGATTATTATTTATTATTTAGTACCCTGAAGCGGAAGGTACGGCCTCAGGTAAACAGTTGTCCAGAGGAAATATTTTCCACCAAAAATAACTGGTCCTAAGAATGTATGGTTCAGCCAGAGTCATAAATAGACGCTGAGATCACAACACACAAGTGATTCTATCCACCCTAGCACCTAGGGAAAATCCGAATGCAGGTTTTCAAGGTCAGACGTGCTACTGTCACCGGTTTGTTTGTTTGCATGCATCAAAGTGACTTTGAGGCTCTGTCAGCTGTGCGTACAGCTGTTGGCGCCTGGTGAGTCTCGCCGTATTCCTGTGTTTGCTGGTTTTCTGTGTATTTAGTTTCAGAGTGAGGGTGAAAAATTTTGCATGAAAATGTTCTATTTGATTAGAAGTTTCTTTCTTTGGCTATTTTCGGTCGATAATATCTTTCTGTATTAGAGTGAATGAGAGCATATTTACGAAGGCATACATCAGCCTTACTGTATACTCCGTCGCACGACGACCAGCAAGGTAAACAGGTATGGAAATCTAGGACAGGCCATGGTGTCACATTGGATCATCAATCTTCATGGGTTTTGCACGGGTGAACGTTCGCGCTGGTATGTAACTTGTGCATCTCATGTCCTGCTCGAAATTTTTGAACACGTTCAGATCTGCAAAAGGTCAAAAGGATATGACTTGTTGAGGGATTCTCCAGGGACTGATCTTAATACCACAAAGTCACAAAGAAGTCCTCGTTTCTTCGCTTACAAACTGCATCCGTGCGATAAATACCTTATTTTTGAACGTATAGTCTCACAGCGTCGCTGTGTGGCGCTTTAAATATCACTGATTGTTGTCAAAAACACTTGTATGACATGCATGTAAAAGCCGTGTAGGTCGCCGGGGGTCATATTCTTAAAAAGTGACACCTTGGACAAAGAACTAGTGAAACTGCAACGAACACTTGAAAACGCTATCGCAGTGCACGGAGGCCAAAGTGAGGTTACGTATGTTATTACAATCCTACGAAATCTTTCATGAACTCCTCGTAGTTCATGAAAATGGAAAATCGGAAAATTGTGGTAATTTAGATATTATTTTTCAGGGGCAATATTTTCTCGGAAATGTTCCAAAGGCATTTGAGAACGACGCGACAGCGTTCTTCCGAATCCAGTAAAGCCCCCATTAGGTGATCATTTTCACGTTGATATTCCCGAAGGGGATGCCTCTCGGAAGCAATCGCCGTGAAAAGCGGGTACACTCTAACTCAAAGCATATTCCGTACCGTTATTATAGCTCACCAAATCTGGCCAAATGTGTTGGCGTGCACGACATCCTGCTCGCACACTTAATGAAATTCACATGATAGTTTTCCCTACCTTGACAGCGAAGAGCTTGAGCGCTGCATCGACCCCGCTGGCTAGAACGTCGTCCGACAAGGTGCAACCATTCCAGGAAGGCCTAAGTGGGGCAGGCGGACCAAGAGCAGCGAGACCTCGTATGACAAGTAATCGTGCTACGAGGCGGTCTTAGGGGCTGTTTCGTACTGTCCTCTGCGGTAGGTGTGTGAAGACTGTTAGGTATTCCCCCCACGCGACGAGCATGTCCATAATTATGGAAGCAGGGCTGATGCCTTCTCCCGTTGAAGGATGGGTCAGGGAAGTTTGAGTCTAAAATCTGTGCAATCCGATCGCCCAGGAGATGATCGTGACTGCAGGCGCATTACGCAACACGTCGAAATACTTTTAAACTCGAAGAGTCTGGTGTAATCAAAACGCAATTGCTGTGCGGAACCGCATATGGAGTGAGGCGGTAATTGGAGGCGAGATGGCCCAAGTGGTAAGAGCTTGAATTTACTGACCAGAAGGTCCGTGGTTCGAACTCGACCTCCGCCTCTCGACTTCCCCTGTCTTGGGCTGGCAGTATCCCAGCCACCGTGCAACCTTCGGGCAGTATGGCAGTTAAGCACCGAAATGGTGCTACAACTGAACGAGGTGATGATGCCTTACTCCATTCTTGCTCAGGTTAGCTCAGCCTGCTGCATTCGAGTAGGTCAGACTATTAAATAATCGGCTCCGGGAAAGGTCCCCCAAGAAAACCTTACCACCCGTTGCCTCGCGGGTCAGGATGGGGGCAATTTCCGCGAAAAAACATCCTTCACCTGCCCCTTTGGGCCATACTCTTGAATCAGAGGCTCTAAGTGAGGGACCTCAGTCAACCCCTGTCCCTCGGCCGTGGCAACCGAGAATTATCATTTACCCTCAATTTTATATCCACCGATGTTCCTCCCGATGGCCTTCCCGCCACAGAAGCAGACGTCTCTGGGTCATTTGACTGTCAGTTATCTGACCCGTGGGTCTTATGCTCCTTACTGCCCATTAATAATAAGCAAAATAACGCATTGCTGAATCCACAAGACCCTTTCTACACAGGAGGTTTTAACGTCTGTACTCCATCCCGAATCGGCATACAGGCAATGCTCGCGGAACAGTTACACTATTCATGAAATTGATGTATACTTTGTCTCCGGAACACAAATACAAGACCCAAACGTAGTTATGCATCTAAGAACTCCAAGGACGAACTCAGTTCGTTCGCATTTCCCCCCTGTGTCCACTGATCCAGAAGATATGACTGGTGGAATATATGGTGTGGGAGTTGCACTCAGTCCCAGAGTTGAACGCACTTTGCTGGATTGGATTGGTGCACAATTGTCTTCGCGCCGTCCGGTTATCCAGCTCAATCAAACTCAATGTCCCTCGATATAAGGTGCCTGTTTGTAGTGTGGGCTTACACCCCAACGGACTGCAGTTCTGACACTGAGAAAGATACCGTCGAGATTATCCGGGTGCATTCGTCGAGTTCAGCGACTCGGTAGTTGGATTTCGAATTAACTGACCAGAAATTCCATTGTTCGAACCTGACCCCTCCATCTTAACTTCCCCTATCTAGGTTTGGGCACCCTCGCAGTATTCCGGCCCTCGTGCCTCCTTCAGGTGGCTTGGCATCTAGGCAGCTAAACAATTCGCCAAGCAAGAAGCACTGACATCGTGATCCTTTCAGGCCACGTGACTGCTCAAGTAATCGTCTGAGCTCTTTGAGATCACTTTTGGGCGGTCTATTCCGCGTTGACGATCTTCGCAGAGAAAACAGAGAGCGACTCCTCCAGTTGCATACTGATCATAAACTTTTCTTTCCCAGTACAAACTTTCAACATAAACGTTCAGTTCGCGTAACTTGGCGTCCACCAACTGCAAACCAACAGTGAACCCAGTTGGATCAAGTGACCACCTGTCACCGGTAGAGGGCCATGTCATATCCTCTTTGATAATGTAGTAGGTCGTGACGTCTGCTGTATCATTGCGATACCGTGTTTAAGTACGGCAGTGAACCATCGGTGTTGAACACTGATGTCATGCTGTCGATGATGATGATCATGATGATCGTGTTTAAGATTACGAGAACGTTGGTATTCATCATCATCATCATCATCAACAACGACAGCATGACATCAGTGCTCAACACCAATGCTTTACTGCCGTACAACCGGGACTTATTTGAAAGCCTTATTGTAGAGAAAAGAATAAAGGTGGATGGGGGAGGGACTTAGTGCTGGCTTAACACAATCGTTCCGAGGTGCCTACACCTCCAGACATTCACTCAGGCAATCTGGATAGAAACTGACAACAAAAACGCCACTGATATCGGTTGGCAGCCATATCTTGTAGTGTCTCCAACCAGGCACAGTGAGGATCACGCGGTCCCCATCCTGGAAGGCGAGTAGCAC